GAAAGTGACTTTGATGATTTGATAAATTAAATTTGAATGAGTTTTATCTGAATCGTGAACTTGATTTTTTTTATGAATCAAGATCTTTGATCTCCCAAGATTTCTTTTTGTTATTTACTAAAAAGAAGACTTGTCAAAATGAATCATGTCTTTTGGTATTTATGACTTGATCTTGCATGATCTTTTATATTAACATATTTTATGTCATAAATTTTATATGATTCATTTGTATTTATGTTTGTATATCTTATGTTATGACTCGAATATTGATGTAAAAGAAAAAAAAAAGTATCATTGTATTCTTTTCTTCTTTTTAATGACAAAAGGGGGAGAGAAAAATTGTTAGCTTACACATTGAGAAAGAGAAGCAAAAAAGTGCTAGCTTAAATGTTAAACTTAGGTATATGCATAAATTCTTCTTATATATTTTTCGGATCATGATATTGATTTCTCAATTTTTATGACTTGAGTTTTCTTTTTAAATCAAGATCATTTCCTATCATTCCTTTTATTTAGAAAAGAAGAGATTTATCAAACATGACACATGGTCTTTTGATATTCATGATTTGATCTTTTATTTTTGATGATTGAAATATTAATGTAAATTTATCTTTGTTATTTATCTTTATCATGATTTAAAATTTGATGTAAACGGAAAAGAATTACAACACTATATTCTTCCCTTTTTCTGATAATAACAAAGGGGGAGAAAGTATTGCTAGCTTGCACATTTCAAAGAGAAGAAAACTTGTTAGCTTGCACATTTAAAAGAGAAAAACTTGCTAGCATACACATCACAAAGAAAAATAAAATTGCTAAACTTATACATCTTAAGAGAAGCAAAGAATTGCTAGCTTGCGCATATCTAAAACTTACTAACTTGCATATTCTAAGATGATGTAAAATTTACTAATTTACTATCTTGCATTCTTTTTCAAAAACTATTAGTTACACTTTTCTCTTTTTTGTTGATGATAAAAGGGGAGAAGTTATGATGATTTGAGATTTGAATTAAGCATGGATGTAATATACTTTAATATTTTGATATCATGATGATTTAAAATATTTATGATTTGTAATGATGCATGCAATACTCATGATTTTATGATGCATGCAATACTCATGATATTATGATGATGCATATAATGAGAAGTTATGATGTAGGATATAATGTATTTTGATATTTTGATGCCATGATAATTTGACATATTTATGATTTGGAATGATGTATGCAATACTCATGATTTTATAATGTATGCAATGATGTGAAAGTCAACGGTTATCATTTTTTGAAATGATATCTTATTTTAATATGACATATTGATAGGAAGAGTTTAGATTAAACTCCATTATTAATTGGTTGTCATCATCAAAAAGGGAGAGATTGTTGAATCTCAAATTTTGATGATGAAATCAATTAATGAAGTTAAGATCTAATATACGTTTGAGTATCACAAGACTAACCTTGATTAAGGAAAGATAATTTGATTAAAGCAAGAAGAATCAAATGTTAGGTCGGAGTGGAACATATCAAAAGATTGGACGTCGGGCTAGAGGAATGGTCAACATGCCGGAAGGTGCCATGAGTTCGGGTATCGGGCTGAAGGATCAGACATTACACCAAGGAGATCGGAAGTTGTTGGAGTTAACATGCCGATTGGGCAATACACTAAAGGATCGAACGAATCGCCGAATAAACTAATGACATGTTGGATAATATAAGATTTATACTTATAATCATGTGTCTAGATCAAATTAGTTTAGGTCTAATTGAGTTAGTTTTGGGTGAAACTATGTCAACTCAATTATGGGCCAATTGGGCCTGAGTTGCGGTTGTTTTGGTCGAAGTGGATGACCTATTCGGTCACCCATAAAAGGGCCAGGCGGTGGCACCACACCGTCTAGACATAATCTCCTAGGTTATGTCAAGTGGTGGTACCACTAGACTAGACGGTGGTACCACCCAGATATAGTCTTCCATATTATGTCTATTGGTGGTATCGCTAGACTGAGTGGTGTTACCATATAATGTCAGTGTCAGATTGGGCAGTGGTACTGCTCAGTATCAGATTGACAAGCGATGGTACCGCAAGTTGTCAATATGGTAGATGGTGGTATCACCTAGCAATGACGGTGGTACCGCCAGTATCCGAAAACCCGGGATGAGACTTTTTGGCTCTATTTTGAAGTCATTTGGAGTCTATGAATACCCTAGTTACTCCTGCTTGAACCAGCAAGAAATAGAGTTGAGAAAGGGGGAAAGAATCCTTATAAAAAAAAGTTGTAAATCTCTCTTAGTGTAGAGTCATCTCTTCCTAGTATTTAGAAATTCTTCTAAAGGAATAAGTGAGGTCTAAGTTTAAAAGAGAGATGTGTAAATGTTCTCTCTTGAGCCAATGAAAAAAAGAAAGAGTTGTAAGGGTAGTTAATCTTCACCCATTGAAAGAAGATCGGTAGTAAAAGCTGATGGCTTCGAGTAAGAAGAATCGAGAGTGGACATATGTCACGATGACTGAACCACTATAAACCCAGTTTGTATTCACTTTATGCTTTTCATTTATATTACAAACTAATTTACTTGCTCACTACTTTACAAACACTTTTAAGTTAAACTCATCTTTCTGATATGACCCTTATTAAATGAGATTTTTGAATCAATGAGATTTTTTGAAAGTACTAATTTAACCCCCCCCTCTCTCAATGTCGAAACTGTCCGAACACTAGTAGTATTATTGAGCTTAGAAACTTGATTGATTTAGAACTTTGATAATCGTAACCAATATATTAATATTGCTTACAAAGAAGCAGATAAGTCTCCTTGGCTCTTATCTTTTATTTACGCTAATACATTATCTTCTACTATAAGTCTCCTTTGAAATCAATTGGTTAACTTAAATATTTCTTAGTTTATTTATAGGGATGTAAATGTTATTTCTAATCTATAAGATAAAGTTAGTGGTCGTATCAAATCCTTTTCTTGTTGATTTTTATAATTTTATCTTTAATGTTAATATCATTTATCTTGATTTTTTGGATCCTCAAGTACAATAATCTCATTGGAAATTTTTATATTTTTGCTATACCTAATCATATTTTTACTAATGAAGCGTGGGTTTCTATTTTCAAAGATGATGTAGTGCAACACCTCCCTAAAATAACTTATGATCACTCTCCACTCTTGATTAAAGTGGATCTTGCTACCATTGATAGATATAAAAATAAACTCTTCTAATTTGATAGTTGGCTTTTTCTCTCCGAATGTTGATGACATTATCAATAATATATGAAGCTCCAAATCTGGCCTTAGTGATCCCCTAACTCATATATCAATACATTTCTCTTACTAATTATTGCCTCTCCATCTTGTACCTCTTTGTAGGAACCTTGAACATAATGTTAAAACTATCATTCAAAATATATCTTTACTATAAAAGAAAGATAATGATAGTAGTCTATGGTGAAGAGTGTCAAACCCTTCAAGCCCTTTATAATAAGCTTATAGCCTTAAATAGATAGAACCACCTTCATAAGTGGGCCAAAAGCCAAATTCAATTGGATTGGTGAAGGAGATACAAATACTAGGTTTTTCTATAAGATTACCTTAGCTCATAAAAGACAATACCATTTATAATATTGAAACCAATTTCTCCCTTACTCTTAGTGATATAGATTCCATTATCACTTATTTTACTTCTTCCTACTTCGACCTTTGGAATTAAACTATAGTCAATCATTTGCTAGTTGGGATAATTGTCCATTTAGCCCTACTTTGTTAATAGATTCATATAACTCCCGAGGACTTGTCTCGTAAGGAAATTTAGATTGCCTTCTTCTAAATAGGAGTTATCTCATAAAGAAATTCAGATTTCCCTATCATTTTTCTTTTCAGAAATACTGGGATTAGTTAAAACTTCATTTTTTTTTTGTCCAATTTTATGCTAACAATAACTTACCTAAAAATTGGAGTAGAACTATTTTAGTTTTTATCTCAAAAAAGACTAACACATCTAGAGTCAGACTTTAGGCTAATTGCCATATGGACTGCCCTTTATAAACTTTTCATCGAGGTTTTTGTAACTATTTTAAAAATAATCTTCAAATTCTTATAGGACAAGAACAATTTGCTTTCCTTCATAGTAGATGTATATATGACAATATCATTATCAATAATAAGCTTGACCATTCCATGACTAATTCGAAGGGTAAATCTCCTCTAACTTTTCTAAACTATTTGGCCACAATACTACTGGACGATCCTTGAGTTGATAATATACCTTTTAGTAAATGTTAACAATATGTTTAGTTTCACTAATGTTTCTGAACTGCTATGTGATAATAATTAGAATGATACTGTATTTGATTTAAGCCTTCGTATATTTTTAGTAGGAAGAACTAAAGGTATATATGTGCCTTTTCAATCTAGTGGTGATAACTAGATATAGACTTCGACTTTTGTGGTAAAACTATTGTTCATAGTGCTTATATACCTCTAAGAAGGAGTCATGTAAAGTAAGGAAAAATAGAGAGTGAAGTTGGGACTCTAGATTCCACCTAAAGTTCAAATATTTTTGTAAAAACTATTATGCAACTAATTACCTATCTGTGAATGAATCTTGATGTTAAGATCTTAATGACATTAAGAGAGGGTAAATTAGTAATACAATAATTTAATTATTTTAAAATTCGATTGAAAAATCAATATATTTCAAAAATAAAAATTACTGAGTGTTAAATCATAGATTTTGATGATTAAATCTATTAGATTAAATATATTTTAAAAATAATAATATTTATCTTAATAATAATTTTTTTATTATACGTGCTATTTGTCTTAATAATATTTCTCTTATTATATAGAATGTACATTTCTAATGGTATGTATTTTTATTCTAGTGGGAATACATGTACAAGAACGGAGGCACGGAGGGTCACGAGAGAAATATATCTTAAAAACGTAATATCCTTTTAAATTAGGAGTTTAGGGTTTAGATAAGTGGCATCCATGTAAGAATCGAGCGATACAAAGTTGACGCGACTAAGACGAGCACGGCAACGAGCTACGCAGATGACGGAGAGCGGTTGATCGCATACAAGCGGGATCCGTTCCGGCGTTCGTTTATACCAATTTTCTTTTTCTTCCTCTCTTCCTGCCAGCTTATTCTCCCTTGGGGTCCCGCCCCTTCCTTCGCTCTCTTCTGTCGGAGGATCGGGATGGGTCGTCCCCCGCACGGCGGAGGCCCCGTCTTCCGATTCACTCAGAACGAGGTACGCACGCTTAGTGCTATTAGTGCTACATCTCTATTTCTTCTTTTCCTTATTTTGAATCCCTGGTCGTTGGCTCTCATCTTGTCATCCTCATCTCCTTCAGATTTCTTTCTTTCCCTTTTTTTGGTGGTTCATTTTTAGGGTTTTGTTATTGTGCCTTCGGCTTAGAACTAAATAGCTCCTCGGTGATGATGGATATATGCTTTTGCTCCCGACTGTCGGTTGTTTGTTTGACACATTATTGTGGTTAATTTAGTGTTTCTTCTTTCCTAGCTAATTCAGATGCCACCGGTTTCAACCACTTTCCGACATAAATTGTTGATTTTGAGTTACTTGAGGAATATGTAAAAGAAGGATAAAAATGTTGCTGGAACATTCTCATCATCTTAATAGTAGCCCCATTACCCAATTTTCTTTCTCTTTTCATGGTATCTTTGAGTTGAGCCTTTGTTTTACACTTTATTGTTCAGTTAGGAGGTAGCTTTGCTGCTTCGACATATTAGGTAGTGATGATGTCTGGTCTTTGGATAAGTTGTAAGTTGCACATTTCAAATTGTAATATTGTACGCTGACGGCATTCATCCTTGATGATCTTGCTCTTTCGTTTTATGTGCTCATTGACAAAATTGATGAGGACACAAATTTCCATGATCAAATTTATTTTGGGTAATCTTGAATGTTTTTTAAGATATCCCAGCACACTAATGCACTTCATCAATCACTAAAATTAACTCTTTTTGAGTTACCTTTCAGAACAATTTATGCTCAACTTTTCTTCACCGACAGATTTCCTCCATGCCAGCTTGTAGTAAGCTTCTTGCTGTCACATCTCCATTTCTTTACAAATACCAGTGTAGACGCTTAGATGACATTAAATATTATATCTAGGAGTTGACTGCTGGAAGTGAAATGCTATTCATTCATTGCTACTGAATGTTAGCAAGCCGATATTTAGCCAGTACAATGGATGCTCTTTGTAAATTTGATGGTGTAACCTCATATTGAGTGACATTTCGATGAAGGTAATGGCTTGGGAAACATTTAGTGTTGGATGGCACCAGATGAAGTGAGATTTTACCATTTAACTGGTCTTGATCTAGTGAAGGATGAGCTTGATATAACTAAAACTAGGTCTAGACAGATTTGTCTGAGCCTTGGGTTATCAGTTAAATGAACTGAGTCCATCTTGCAACCCACTTAGACCTGTTCCTGTTACCTGCTCCTTTCCTCCTCTTCCCCCTCTTCCTCCTCCTCCTACTCTTATTCTTCTCCGCCTAATGCATCACCCCTTACTCCTACTAAGTCAGCTCTTGCTCCTACTTTCTTCTCTTTCTCTTTCTCCTCCTCCCCCCTTCTAATGCTGAATGGTATACCAGTATAGCTTGTGTTGGTATATGCTGACATGTATTGGACTGATACTGGTCTGACCAGTGATTGGTATGGGGTCGAGCATTGAATTTTGAACCATGAATTAATTAGCTCAACCTACACTGCACACATATTGGGGCTTTTCTAAAATTTCTCTAAATTGGACTTCAGAGACCTTCTAAAATTGTTTGTAAAGGGTAACAACAAAACTACTTGTAAATGCTTAATCCTAGTTTAAGTTTGACACACCTGTAATAGGTGGTTAGTTATATTAAAAGCAGTAGTAGTCCAGTTTGGTCTTATTGGGTTGTGTAAGATGCATCATGGTAGATTCTCACCTGTTAAATAGGCCTTGTCCCAAGGTGTTGGTCTATGTCCTTGAGGAAGAAGTGATTTTTGGAGTCTCCTCGTTTTCTTTTTTCTTCACTTGTGTGGATGGAGGAAAATCTCCTGTAATAACATGTAAAGAGAATTTATTTTAACATGAAGATATTGCTCCATCCCTAGGAAGACAATCTTAATATTTGTTTAGTAGTACTTGATATAGCTATGCATAAATTTTGATGCAGTTTGCCGAGGTAGTTGACCATCCTCTTGGTCAACCAGAGGAGGGTAGCTTGCTAGATAAGGTCATTTATAGGTTAATGTCACTATCCAAGTGCATCATGGGACCTCAGAGGCAGTTTGACAGTGAGATCTTCAATCGGGTGATTGTCATAATCCAAATTTCACCCTCCATCTTCACTTGACTGATCATTCTTGGGCCTTGTGTTGGCCAAAGTGACATTCCAAGAGGGTTTTGGCAATGACTGGCCTTGAGCTTGTGGCAGCAGGTACATTGCAGATCATGCAGGTGCTAAATTTGGATTCACTACTTGCAGTGTTTGACTTTGATGGGTATGTTTTTTTTTTTTTGAAACAAAGGAGAATATATTAATTCAAAAAGTCTTTGTACAGAACAGTAGGAGGTGGGACACCTCTCCAAAAACCAGTATTATTCTGCCTACCAAAATTTGCAAGATTGTGAGCAAAAGTGTTGATGTTCCTGTTGATGTGTTTCCATTGGGTGACTTGTACTTCAGCAGCTATATGCAGGATGTCATGGCAGATTGGGTAAAGGGCCCAAGGAATGTTTGTTGCGTTAGAAAGCATGTCAACAATGCTTTTAGAGTCTGCAGTCTGTGAGGAGAGTGAGTTGATTCTGTTGAGCTACCTCGAGTCCGTCAAGGATAGTGTGGCATTCGGTCTGCAGGGCACTCGTCAGGAGATAGTTGTTGCAGCCAGCCAAAACCTTGTTGCCTCTTTGGTCTGTGATAAGGAATCCGATACTTGCATGGGAAGACGTGGTGTCAAAATAACTATTGCAGTGTAAAGTGTACAAATTCGGTAGGGGAGGGCCATTGGGGTTGATGTTAGGAGATGGAAGGTGTGAATGGGGAGGTCTGTTAGGGACTAGGTGTTGTTGGGCTAGGCATGTTGGAAGGGAGGGGTGGAGGGAGAGATCCCGTAGGGAGGGTCTTGGATTCAAGCCCGTCATTGGTTAGAGCCAATGCTCTGCACCATACAGATACAATTTGGCACTGATGGTTGCGAAAATGACAGTCATTCCTCTGTTTCTAGATGAGCCAGAGATTGTTAGGGATCAGTTAGGAGATACAGGGATGGGATCGGTTAGGAGGCTGCTCGAGTAGGTTAGTGTTCCATTAGTTTTGTTCCGTGAGATTGCTGACTAGGTTGAAGGAGGATAGGGAGTCCATGTTGATGAATGTTGGCCAGTAGGCTACAAGAATACTATAATTCCAGGGGTTATTTCAGATAGGTATTTCTACTGTTGCCAATGATTTTCCTAAAACCCAACTTGAAGATGTCAAGCAGTTGACAGATTTTTCCATAGGGCTTTTTGCCAAGAAGTTGGGTCCATAGGTTTTTGGAGTTGTTGAGGAGTGGGAGAAGTTTTTTAGCACAAATAGTAGTTTTGACAAGGTTGATATTCCAGATTCCTAGGCCCCTCTAGGCCTTGGGCCGAGTGATGCTCTCAGCTGATGAGAGATAATTTAGTTTGGTTTTGGTCATTGTTCCAAAAGAAGTGTCTGAAAAGTTTGAAGATTATAGAAATGTTCTTGTTGGAGATCCAAGTGTTCATAAGGGTGTGAAGAGGATATTCCAACAGTTACTCATTACAGATTTGCCAAGTATTCATAAATGTTCATAGAAATGACATTGATTACAGAGTTAATCATAACAGATTTACCAGCCTGAGAAAGCATAGTTCTATTCTAACCATTGAACTTACAAAAGACTTTCTGGATTAGCTGGTCTTGGAAATGATTAGGTAATCCACAATGGTGGATGTAGGCACCCAAGTAGTTCAAAGGCCAGGTCCCCTCTTTAAGTCCAAGGGTGTTGTATATTTTTTGCTTGGTGCTCGGACTACATACTTTGGGAAATAGGACAGTAGATTTGCTTTTGTTAATCTGAAGGCTTGTGATAGAAGAATACAGGTCCAAGGCTTTGATAAGATTCAACCTAGACTTGTCATTGGCCATGATTAAAAGTAGAACATCATCAATGAAGATGGGAGATATGAAAGCCCTTGATGTTATGAGGGGTTATTTTCTTTCTCGAAATGAAATCATTTAGAATGCTGGACAAGTTTTGCTGCACTAGGAAAAATAGGAGGGGGGACAAAGGATCCCCCTGCCTAACTCCTTTCGCACTGTTGAACCAGTGCGAAGGGTAATTGTTGAAAACACAGGTAAAGGAGGGTGAGGTAATGCACGAGTTAATTTAGGAAGTGAATTTGTGGGGAAAATTCATTTTCTCAAGTGAGTCGGTGATGCAATCCCATAAAACTGTGTCAAAAGCTTTGGCCAGGTCCAGTTTAATTAAGATTAAGGGGATTTGCCTTTTGAGTTAAACATAGTGTGAGCGAGTTCATAGGTATAGAGATGTTATCTTGTATAGACCTTCCAACGATAAAAGCATATTGGTTTTGGTCAATAATCATATTGAGGCTAGATTTGATTCGATTTGTCAGGACTTTGGAGAGCAGCTTATAAAGGACATTGCAAAGGGAGATTGGTCTGTAATCAGTGATTTTGGAAGGGTTGGTTATCATAGGGATAAACACGAGGTGGGTCTTGGTCTACGAAGCAGGCAAGGTGTTGTGGGAATGGAAATCATTGAAGGCTTTAAGAATGGAAGGCCCCAAAGAATTCCAGTAGTGCTTATAGAATTCGGCCATGTATCCATTAGGGCTTGGGATCTTTCCTTGCCTCATTACCATAAGAGCTTTGTAGATTTCCTCAAGGGAAAAGTTTTCTATAAGAGGGGAAAGGGCACTGGGGGGAGGAAGGGGAGTGAAGGCCAGTTTATAGTGCGTTGGGTTTGACTGGCAGGGGCCCAAAGCTTACTGTACTAGTCCGTAAAGGATGAGGTAATGGAGTTATTGTCCTCAGCAAGGGAGCCGTCCTCCATGGTGATGTGGTGGATATGATTCATTCTTTTTCTTTGTTATACAATGTTGTGAAAATAGTTGGTATTTCTATCAGCGTTGTGAAACCAATTGTTTTTGGCTCTAGAGAGCCATTTAAGGTGGATCTGTCTCACAAGGGCAGTAAATTTGTTCAGGA